TTTAAAAGATGCAAAGCTCATGAAATTGAACACGGACTAAAATTTAAACAGGTCTGGTCCATACAGTGCATATGAAATGAATGAAGATTCACAAATGAAAATGCATAGAGGGAGTTAGTGAGCATGTAAAATGTGTCACCCTTCTACTAGTGGAGGACTTTGCTGCATGATCACATCATCATGAAGTAGTGCAATTCATGTGATATTAGGTGGGAGTTGCCTCAAGGCTAGTGGCATACAAAAACTAAGGCAGATGCATGAAGAAGATAGCTTAACTGTGTTCAGAGGTGTGGTATTGTCTCAGAATCAATTACTTGCTCATGCCTACTTGTCAATGGTATGTTTATAATAAGAAAGAATATTTCATGAACTACACGAATCTGATAATTTTCCATTTTATTTTTGCAATGAATGTCAATATCTTGCAAGTAGTTCTTGATATGTGTGTGTAGACTGAAGTCAGTGCTCTAAAGTGGAATTTTTTAGCATATTTATAACTTAGTTAGAAAGCCTCATGAATTATAGTACATTTGGGACATTCTTTTTTATTACCTGAAATATTATTTGTGTTCTGAAATGTACATTTGAAAGCTACACAAGTTATTTTTTGGACAATGATCAGTTACAAAAAAAAAGGCTTACAAAAGCAATCTGAATACAAACTGTTCTAGGGCTAATATAAGTTCTGAATCTTTCTAATGTACATTTCTTATTTAGTGTTATATATTTTTTAGCAAAAGTAATTAAATTGTAAAATTTAAAAACATATTAGGCTATACAAGAAAACTTATATGAAAAAAAATTTCCAGATCACTCCTTAAGGAGCACATGAGGATTGCGAGTATGTAGCAACTGTAACCTGAATCTTGTTTACCATATATTCTCCACACTTCTGGTGATATATTGGTTATACAGACAACCAGAAATGGTTCATATAGCAATAGAACAATAAAAATTAATTAAAGCAGTCATGAAAAGCCTAAAATTTTTAGATAAGTTATTCTAATTGTCTGTTACAATCTGCAGATATTTTTCTTTTCTTTTTATGTATTTCAACTTTCGCTACAGTTAGTGTTAGAAACATAAAAGATAGATTGTTGTATGAATACTAATAGTTTTAGAATGTATTTAGTCGGTAAATAAGTGACTGAAGCTATAGAGGCAGTGCTGTATTGTTGTATGAATACTAATAGTTTTAGAATGTATTTAGTCGGTAAATAAGTGACTGAAGCTATAGAGGCAGTGCTGTATTGTTGTATGAATAGTAATAGTTTTAGAATGTATTTAGTCATACTGATTACGAGTCAAAAAGATGTAATTATTATTGTTTTATAAAAATTACCAGTAAGGCCTCACTTAGAATTCTGTGTACAGTTTGACCTCCTTACTTAAAAATAGATATTGAATTACTGGAAAGGATTCAAAGGAGTATTACTAGGATTATTTCAGGCATTGAAGGGTAATCTTATTGAGGTAGGTTAAGATCTCTTATTTTCTTTCAAGAAAAAAAAAGTAAGAAGTGATCTTATTGAAGTGTACAAGATTATTCAGGGGATTGATAGGATAAATGCATATGATATTTTGTGCTGATTTCTGAAAACAACAATACAAGAAGATACAATTTTAAGATTAGGAAAAAATAAGGTAGGCTCCAGTTAAAGTAGTTTAATTTTTCTAACAGGATGATTGAGATAAAGAAGTGAATATATTATTTCATGGAACATAAAAGGTAGATTTCTTTTTCTTGAGGTTGGGGCAGGGTCATCCTAGAAGGTTCAAAGGGTTCTTTAGGGTCCACATGTAATGCTATGTTCATAGTTGGAAACAAAAAAGTAAAAAGAGGAGCTAGTACTCAAGGCAAAGCATTTCCTTTATTGGTTTGGGTAAAATCATAAACTGGACAATAATATTATCAGTTTTATATTTCTTATTATCCTTTCAAATCAAGAAATATTGTCCCAACTTATTAAAATATGTTACTTGCGATCATTGGATATTTAGGTTATACATATAATTTAAAGGACAACAAGAGACCTGTTAGTTCATCTAAGCCATTTCATCCATTACATTTAACTTTATAAATGATCAACACTATCAATTCTAGTATCCCTCCTCTGAACCCATTTCAACCCAACAATTCAAGGTCCTCACCTGAGACTGAACACAATACTTCAAACATAGCCTAAGCAATGATCTGACCTATACAATGAAATTATAGCCTCTTTGGATTTATATTCAATACTTTTGTATATACAGCCTAAAATCTTATTTACACATTTCTTGGATGGCTTAAAAGAATGATTAATTAGAACACCAAGATCATTTTCTTTCCTAATGCTGTTACGGTTAATCCCATCATAATTATACTCATGATTCAAGATATGATATCCCACATGCATTACCTTGCATTTATTATAATTAAAAGCCATCTGCCATAGATTTGCCCAATTTACCAAATAATTCAAATCCTTTTGTAAAACAACAACATCCTCCTCACAACCAGTAACAGCCAAAACCTATCATAACAAGCCACAGAAGAGAATACCTTTTTTAATCATGTCTGTATTTAATGCTGAGGCATCCAATACAGATATGTGATACTATTTTTTTACTTTTAGTTTCATATACCTTCTATCATGTTTCTCAAATATACTCAAATTTCCAGCAAAATACAGGAATATATTATAGTTCTGGCTCTAAGTTGCAAAATTTTCACTGTTTCGTTGGACACAGTCATCACTTTCTTCAATTTTGTCTATCTCATTAGATAATTTTTCCCATGAGGTAGAGCCCAATTTCAACTTAAGAGATGTTTCAATGCACAAACATACATTTCCATTCAATATAAAAAATACAGATTAAGAAAACAAAAAATAAAAAAGTTAATGTCACAATGTATTTCACTTAAAATGATTAAATTTATGATCCACTCATTAAAACATGTCTTCTAGAATCACTACTTCAAGGAATAAGAGCATTAGTCAAAGACAGTTGCAAAGGAAATAAAAAATGTAAGCCTTTGAAGTTCCTAGCCTGTATCCCTTAAGAATGGAGTTATTTACACTAATGTTACCAATTCTTTTGTTAATATCGGCACAAAAAAGCGCATCATCAATGCTGAATAACTTATCATCTTAATTCAAGTTCAACAACTGAAACCTATACTGTCTTCATAAGATTAGCAAAGAATCTCCTGAAATATTTTCACCTGCTGGTTATAAAGCTGAAACATAATAGTTTCTGCACTTTTAAATGCACCCAACACATAACTTTTTAATTAATCACAGCATGAAGGTTTAAATGTAAATGAGGTTTCTTCTCCAGTTAAAATTTTTGAATTAATCTTGTTTTCCTACTTTTTCTATCTTTTTTTAATGATTTGCACTTGCACCTAAAAAAAGTTTACTCCAAGTTATTTGTATTCTCACTTTGTAATCATGGCTCACACATACATAACTGAATACTTCTTGTGTGTTTGATAGAAATAAACATCTGTCTTCATAGGTGATATCTATCAGTAAAGGATAAAACATTGTGGCAACTCCGAATCAATGACTATTTACAAATCTTTAAATTGTCGATAAATAAGGTAACAGCCAAACTGTTAGATGGCTCACAAATAAGGATTTTAGAAATTTTATGAATATGTCCATATATATCGCATCAGTAGTTCAAGTGTTAACAATTTCAGCAAAAGCTAAATGATCAACCACAGCTTCCTTTAATGGCAATTTAAACATAACAATTAAAGCCTTTTTTTACCAATTCAACATTTATTGAAAATGGTAACTGTCTAAGGTTCTTGACAGTAGAATCTTGAAAACTTAAGCTAGCCCTTAAATAATTTTATATGATTTAATAGAATGGACAATTAACAAGAATTCCATGGCTTTCTTTTAATATTTTTGTTAGGGATTTAGTCAATTCAATTCAAACAAGTGCCATGTTAAATGTCATTTACTTTTTACTTGTTAACATCTAAGACCACCCCTTCTGCCACAGATGATCTGTCTCACTTAACTGTTGATCACTTTTTATTTTTATCATTTGAATAAATTTTTAGGTTACCGTTTGCAAATGTTAATACTGAATAACAATATTGATGCATCACTTGATGGAGGTGTGTGTGTCTGAAAATATGAGCTGTTTATGAATGTGTGTTCATTTCCATTTTCATGTTTTTCATAAATACTTTTTATTATTGACATGATTTTTGATAGCTACATTTAACATTCACCTTTACAAAAAAATGTCTGTTTGTGGCTATGTTCTGTGTTTTACACCTCAAGTTTCCTTCCTGTAAGTAATAAAAATTGGCTGGTTATTTCATATTGAGAACTAACATTTGTGTGTGTGTGTCAGGAAGAACAAGCTTAGTGAAATAGTGGATAGTATAAGCTGGATAATTTTACCTGCAGTACTTGAGTTAGTCAAGTGTTAACTAATTTCCACAAAATTATACTATTAGTTTCACACACCAATCCTTAAATTCACAAAAATATCCTAAACAGATCTCAAAATATTCCTTATGACAAGAAAAACAGCAAAACTAGGGATCATTTGGAAAAACTGTATCTCTATGTTTAATAGACTGTAATAAATATATTTCTATGATTTTTGTTTTAAATTACTAATTTCAGAAGACATGGAACATGCAATATTCTCCCAGTAACAGTGGAATGGTGACACTTTATTAAGTCAAAACTTTGTATGAAAGCTTCCTTTACATATAGATTGAATCAGTGTACTAAAAAAATTAATATTGAAATAAGAGCCTAACATAGGTTTCCCTTAATGTTTTGGCCTTAGTTAGAAATAGCATTATATCATCATATACTAGCTGTGAGAAAATAATGTGTGTACAATAATTCATTTGAAAGTGAAAGCAATATTAGTTTATGAATTTTCATTTTTTCAATAAACTTTTCTAAACCAAATTATATTTAACAATGCATAACATTTAACTAATGCAAGAATATTAAGCTAACTACCAATCTCACCATAAACATAATTCCAACTGGAAAACTGGTGAAATGCAAACACAGAGCGACCACACGATACCATATTTCAGGATCCGAGTGTGCATACCAAATGAACATGAGGGTGGTGTTTTCCACAAATGTTATGAAGTAATATATTGCGTATCTGTATCGAGTAGGCCTGTCCACTGGGTTGAAATAGCAAAATATGAATTGAACCCCAAGTACAGCATCATACATATACTCTTCATACCTAAAACATACAGAAAATGGTACAATTTTTGAAGTGTTCATGAAGTGATTTCTTTTTTTTAAATGATGAATAGTCTGTATCATGTTTTGCAAATGGGCAACCATACCTTCTTTAATTTTTTATTCACATTTTACAATACCTAAACTTTAAATCTTATGTTATACAATATGTTTAAATTGTATCAGACATATTGACTATCACTTGCAAATAATATAAAAGTTTTATTCAAGCCAGAATTATAAAAATTAGTTTAAATGCTACAAAAAATATGAAAACCCTTTTAACTTAAAGAAAAGTAATCTTGTGCCTAATTTCAACTTTCAGAGCCCCTATTTGATTTCAAGCTAAGTTAACAGGGGGAAATCAAACTTAAATCCAATAAGCATGATCTCCAATTCTTTTTAGGGGGAATTTAACGTTTTTTTTCTTTTAATCAGTGCTGAAAGTATTGAGCAAATTAAAAAAGAAATAATAAGCAATGCTTCCCTTGCTTTTTTGGTACATTTATTACTATATCTATCTATATAGGTATAATAGATTCTAGATTCCAAGTTACGGGAGTCCATTCTCAATATTAGTAGAAGTAATCACTGTATGTTTAATACACCTGTATAGTGTAGAGGACATTGCACTTCCAACATTTTGAATTCTTTCAACTCAGACAGGAAAAAAAATAAAACATAAAATACATACTTACTTATTATCATAAAAGTTTGTCTTCATTGAGATTATCCATCCGGTCATAGCAAGCCAGTGTATTACACAAAATACAGCCAAGGCTACTGGACTGTAAGATGCAAAAAGAGATAGAGCAACTACACGTGAAGCAATAACAAAGAATCTCCAAAAGAACATCCCTACTTTTCCAATCCTTGATAAATCACTTTTATCAGGAAGAGAACGACGTAGTGCAGACTGGTAGGAAACAAGAGAAGTTGCTAATGAAATCAGGGAAAACAGAATGGAAAACCAAGGAACAATGGCTATAAAAAAAAAAGAAGAAAGTTTTTGATTAGGACTAAAGTCAACTGGTAAACCCATAAACAAACTGGTGGAAAGGGGAGAACACAAAAATATATTGTAATGTTTAACATAAATTTCAAATAAAATGTATTTACATCATAGACAGTTTTAAAGCAAGTTACGTAGAAAACACCTTCATAATAAAATTCAAACATTAACACTTTAAGTAATAGTATTTTTCAAAACTTTAATCAAATATTGAAAAAGTAAGATGAACTTCAAAAAATGATATGTCTTATTCATGAGTGCATTTTTGAACATAATAACATAGAATGTTTTAATGTCTTGTACTACAAAGACATCATCCATATAAGTTACATCTGCATTAATCTGGAAGGACCAAACTTCTTCCATGACATTAGCTTACCTTATCAAAGCTGTTGAAGTCATAACACTACAGAGAAGAAGATATCACTTGGATCTTCAAGGCTGTTCCTGTATCTCACTTCTTTGAAAAGTTAAACATTTAAATCTACTCTTATCTTTCTATAAATCACCTATACACTTCTTAAACTCTGCTTGAAAAATAAGTATGTCTTAACTGGATAATAGCCTGTCTTTTCCAAATCTTATACTTGTGCCCTCTCATCTTGTTATCTTGTCAATGTGTTTTAAATACATTGTAAAATATATTAGCTTTCCTATTACCAATAGCACCGTTTCTTATGGCTTTAATAACTTTTTTGCTTCCTCTCTGCCAACCTTCTTACAATCCGATCAACAAGTGTTTTTGAAATTCCCACTAACATAACTTTCTTAGCTAAATAGTTCTTTAGAAGTTCATACAACTGGTACAATGATATCACTCAAACTGTAAGACTGGATCTTTATCCTAAATGAAGCAACCAGCTTTCAAAATATGCCTACATTTTGTGAATAAATAACACATTTATGATGATAAAGACTAACCAAGGCTTAACATACTGGCAATAGAAGCTTACTTTTCCAATGTGGTTGAAGAGGGTATGGATTCTTAGCCTGAATAAACAACTGTAGCACCAATTGTGGAGCAGATTCCATGTAGCATTCAAACAATCGTAACATGGCTGCATCTGAATCTTCATAGACCATTTTACAGTAATAATCTCTTACTTCTTTCAAAGCTTCTTTTCTGGATGAAGCTCGCACCTTGAATCCATACCACAGAGTATCAATGTATCTAAGAATATGTTAACAGGGAGAATTCTAATTAATATAAGCACAATTACAGCATCTAATAAACTATACACACAAAATAAATATTATAATCTCTTACCAAACAGAAGAGTATTAAACAAGAACAAACCTAACTAACAAAATATTCTTAATCTGAACCAATAAATAAATATTTTTGTAATAAAACTAACAACTTAATCTTAAGAAAAACTAAAAATGAAATCTTCAATTAAAAAAAAGAAGTTTCCAATGTACATTTGAAAAAGAATTAAGATTTAAAACTTGAACAAAATGCAAGTACCAAGAAAACTTAAGTAGTATATATAAAAGCATTTTTACCAAAGAAAAATTTGCTTTTGGTACATACAATTCAAAGCTACGTTGAACAAGTTTCTTGCATTATTGTGATTTATAGACTATTTTCAATGTTATATTTTATGAAAGAAGTATTCTTTAGAATCTAAATTATACATTAAAATAATGAATAATATAGCCTGCTGTTAGTTTGAGACTGTAAGACACATTGCTCCAAAATTTCATCCTACATATAGAAAGCTGGTCAATCATGAGTATTTGCTTATCAATTAATCAATGGCCTCAAAAATAAATTATATTTGATTAACTGATCAGTATGTTGTTTCTCATGTCACTGTAATTACAAGCAACAACATCTAAGAAAAAGTAGATTTTTCCAGCTAGTTACCTCCCCTTTTTGTTAGTAGTCAAAGAAGGGGAGGGAGATTGGTAGCAGATGTCACTAGACAAATTTCTTCCCTGTAGTCAGCAGATCAAAACCTTAGTAGCTTTGCAATAAGATTGATAGGATGAATAAGCTATAAAACTATTAACAAAAAAGGAATGCATCAACTGCCAAAAAGTTATGAACATTAATTTTTTTGGTTGAGATAGTTGACATTTTCTATTCAGCAATGAAACCCTTCTTATAACATATTTACTTTCCATAAGGTTATAGACTGAGGTCCTTGTTTGTAATACACAATTACCCAAATATACTTTCAATTAAAATCACTAGGGAAAAAGTAATTGTATCCAATTTGTATGTACTACATCAAACCTTCTTTTTTATAATGCTTAATATTTCTTTATAAATCTATCATTCATTAACTCATTTAAGTTGTGATGAAAGAAATCTACAATTCTGATTTGTACAGTTGTTTGAATAATTAAATACTTTTAATATTGTTGCGTCAGCGAGTCACATGACTAGTGTGACGCCACGTTTCTAGAACTATCCCGTACCTTGGC